TAATTTATAATTTAATTATTTTATAAAATTAAATATATATATTTTATTATTTAAAATTATTTATAAAATATAGTTATAATATATATAATTACTTTAAAAAATATTTTTCAATTAAAATATTTTTGACATTTCTAACAGTTCAAAGATAATATTTCGGTTTTTGCAAATAATTTGAATTGACAAAAGTAAAAAAATTACCGTAATTTTAATTATCATAAACCAAATAAGCAAAAACAAAGTATACATTATGTATGTTATTACTTATACGACATCTATTTATTCTTTCTTATATACCCTAAATTAAAAAATTTGGTGACATTGACAGCGTATACGGCAAAGGAAAGTATTGTGTGATATTTGTTGATATTTTTATTGTAAGTACGGATTATTTTTATTTTATTAAAATATTTTATATTTTGATAACAATTATTTATTTTATTTCATTAAAGATTTTATCAAAATGGAACTTAAATTATTGGAGAGAATAGAAAAACTTGGGTAAGTAATTGAAGGTTATAATATTGAATATAATATTGCTTTTTTTTTATATGTGAATATAAATTGTTTTTTATAAGGAATATTAAAAAAAATTTTCATTTTGGAATTATGTTTAATGTTATGAAATTTATATAATATTTCTTTCTATTTTTTTTGTATGATTCCAAAATATAAATCATGATAGCTATTAGGTTAAAATTTAAACATATATAATATTTAAAAGAAATTTTCTTTTATATGTTTTTATGTAATTTTAATAAAATGAAAAAAATCATCAATATATTTGACATTTTTATTTATTTTTGAACTTTATCATTTAATATAATTTTTTATTATATAGGTATAATGGTCAACTGATAGAACCTAATAAATTTAAAGAAGCCTTAAAACAAGGTCCAAAATCACCAGAATTTACAAAACTTGTAGCATGGTTAGCAGATGAGATTGCATTACTAAATGATATGGATGAAACTATTCATGCAATAGTGTCACCAGATGATTCTAGTTCTTTCTTATTAGAATTAAGCTGTTTTCTTAAGGAATTAGGATGTATGAATGAGAGATTAATGACTGGTAATGTTAACACAAGATTAACAACTGAACAAGATAGATATATCTTATTAGATTTTTTGGGAGCAGAATTAAAAACTTGTAGATTATTAGAATTTAAAAAACATAAAAATTTAAATTCCACTGCTGTTGTTGTTGTAAGTTTTCATCATTAAGGTAGGATCAAAATATTTAAACTATATCATAATTTTATTGAAATAAGTTTGAATATATTTTTTATAGGAAGAGAGTGATACAGCTAAAGATCTTAAAGATATGTTAATAGCTTTAAATTTTGAAAAACCACCAAATGATATTACTTCAGAAAAGCTTTTTACAAGACTGGAGAATAAATTGACTGAAGTATTAAAAATAGCTCCTTCTGAACTTGTAGGACAACCATTAATTACTCATGAATTCTCAGAAGCAGATTGGAAAGATCTTCAACATATACAACAAGAATTACATGATGAATACAGAGTGCGCCGTGATATGTTGCTCAAAAGACTTGATGTAACGGTACAATCTTTCCTAGTAAGTACATATGATAAATTTTAAAATAAAATTGTTTTTATAAAATTTAAAAATATGATTTTTATTTTTAAAATAGTGGTCAGATAGAGTTAAAGCTCAAGAGGCTGAATTAAATAGACGTTATGAAGAAACTAGAAAATTTTTAAATGCAGAACCAGACATTACAATTGCTGATTTATTAGCAGCAAGAGATGATATTGCATTAATGGAAAAAACAAGCAATGCAAGTGTTAGAAAAAATACTCAAAGTGAAATTAATAAAGTTATTATAGGAGAAGTACCAGACAGAGGTGGAAGACCATATGAACAAGAACCACCACCACCTGAAATGCCACCTTGGCAAAAAGATAGGGTACCAGGACCTTCAACTAGGTTGGTAAAAATTAAGAAATATTTTAAATTTTAGATGATTTAATTCAAAAAGATATATGCATTTTATTATATATATGAAGATATATGCATTTTATAAATATTATTTTAGTGGAGGTCGAGGAAGTGGAGGCAATAGAGGCAGTGGTCGTGGAAGAGGCAATTTTCAAAATTCTAATGCGACTTATATCAATGATAATAGAAATTCATATAGTGGTCATGGAGATAGTGGACATCAAAGTTCAAATTTTACTCTTAATAGTGGTGGATATGGTGGACAAGGAGGAAAACAAGGAGGTGGTTATGGAGGAGGGTATGGAGGGCAAGGAGGAGGATATGGAGGAGGATATGGAGGAGGACAAGGAGGATATGGAGGAGGACAAGGAGGAGGATATGGAGGAGGACAAGGAGGAGGATATGGAGGAGGTCAAGGAGGATATGGAGGAGGTCAAGGAGGATATGGAGGAGGTCAAGGAGGATATGGAGGAGGTCAAGGAGGATATGGAGGAGGTCAAGGAGGATATGGAGGAGGTCAAGGAGGATATGGAGGAGGTCAAGGAGGATATGGAGGAGGTCAAGGAGGATATGGAGGAGGTCAAGGAGGATATGGAGGAGGTCAAGGAGGATATGGAGGAGGTCAAGGAGGATATGGAGGAGGATATGGAGGAGGACAAGGAGGAGGATATGGAGGAGGACAAGGAGGAGGATATGGAACAGGACAAGGAGGAGGATATGGAGGAGGTCAAGGAGGATATGGAAGTGGATTTGGAACTGGTGGAAATAGTTATAGTGGAGATAATAGAGATGGAGGTAATGGATCCAATAAATCAATAATAAAGATGTAAAAATTGCAAAATTTTAAACTTTATAAATGAGTTTAATTAAAAAAGTTGTTTGTTTCTTAAAATAAAGTATTTTAATATTTAGGATATGGTCATCGATATTGTAATTCAGGTAATATAGGACTTACATCTCAATCCGAGTATAAAAGTGGACAACAATATCAAAGAGGAGGTTCCAGTGGTCGAGGAAGAGGAGGTAGAGTTCAGGGAGGATGGAATCAAGGAATAGATAATTATCAACGTGGCGGATATAATCGTGGTGGAAGTCAAGGAGGACGACAATATTAAAATATTTTGTGTAATGTATTTATTATGAACGTAATATTAATAGTAAAAGATATTTGCATCACAGAGCATAATAATTAATATCAATGAATTTCTATATAACAAATGCTTAAAATTTATATATCTAACATTGTTTTTAAACATTATATAAGTTATAAAATGCAAATATTAATTCTAAACTAAAAATGAATAAGAAACATTGATATTATTCATAGAAACATAAATAATTTACTCTTATATGAATTAAAGTAATCATTGTATCCTATTTTATAAGACTTTCTTGTGTTCTGAATATTAATTTTGGCTATGTATTCGTTTGAATTTTGTAAATATGCATTCTTTTGTATAATGAAGAAATAATGAATATGTTGAAATTAATCTATATAATGTAATATGTAAGAAAACAAAATTTATTGTTTAAATTATTTAATTGTATAATATTTACCAAATATATACGTATATATTATAATTACTGAGTTTAATTTGATTTTTTTAAGTTTATCAATTAATTAATTTGCAATTAAAAAGAATTAAATATTTTTATTACACATATGAAAATACATAAAAAAGGAAGATAATTTAAATTTATTTAATTATAGTTTTTTATCCGCGATTTGAGCAATACCTTCTATATTCCTTATAGTTCATGATTGTTCCATAAATCATTTATAAATATAAGAGTTTAAATATATGAGGAAACAAAATGTTGATGTACGTTTTTCAATTAAATCATTATATTTATTTTATTTTATTCATTTGGAAAAATCAGAAATTTTATTATATTAGAATATTAAATTTAATTTTGGTTTGATTTAATATAATATTTAAATATCTCTCGCGCAGCTTACGTCACAGTTTACAACTACACTCTATGTATGTGTCATATAATGATAAGTTATAAAGTTCAGTGTTTTGTCTATTAAAAGTATTATTTTTTCCATGAATATTATTATCTACCAGCATAAAAAAATGATATCTACTATTAAGCAATGACACATTTACAAAATACTTGATTGATTGATTCATCTTAGATATTTATAATAATTAGGTATTTATAATCGAACGTACATATACCTTATTGTTAACATTGTATTTCATTATAGTTTGTTTAAAAATTATAATTTATTTATTTAAAAAATATATTATTTTATAAAAATATATTTATAAAAATATTTATAAAATATATTATAAAAATTATTATTTATAAAAATATATTATAATTAATAACTAAGTATATAAAAATAATAAAAATTATTTGTAAATATTTTTATAATAAATTAAGAAATGTAAAGTATTCTAATAGAGAATATATAAATAATCTTTATTTTATTTTTTTTTTCTAAGGTCTTGAAGGAAATTCTACATATTATATTATAATTATTTATAAAAAGAAAATGTCAGGAGGAGAACGAAAAAAACGTGCTTGTGATAGAGGACAAGGTTGGGAAGAGGCTGGTGCTGAATTTTATCAAGAAAGTTATCCTGCAGCTA